TCCCTCCATTCATCCAACCATCCCTCCATTCATCCAACCATCCCTCCCCTGTAGCTTCTTGTACGTTCAGATCCGGATCAGCAGGAAACAAATATTTTGGTTTTGTTGCAGGAGTTGAACTGGTTTTAGTTTCCAAGGTTGTTAAGTTCATTTTTGTCAGTTCTATTCACAGAACACCTCAGGTCCGGTCTCGGTCTCCTCCTTCTGGTCTCGGGGTGAGCTCCTGTGGGGCTGAGGTGCTTGTGTGGAGCTGCTGAGTTCTACTCGTTTGGTTCTGCGGTGCCGGTTCCATTCGTGGTTCTTGAAGGATCAGAAGAGTCCTAACGAGGGACTCATCTCTGCGAGCCTGTTGTGGATCAGTTTCTGGTTTGGTTTTGGATCCATCATTGCCTTGGTCAAGTTTCTGAACCAAATCTGGATCTTAAAGTCCCCCTAAAGTTCAGAGGTCATCAGTTCTGGCACAAACCAGGAACAACGGTCTGAGTTGGATCAATTTTCACAAAGTTCTGATTGAAACCAGAACAAAGTCAAGAATCTTAACAGACTGGTTGAAGCAGTAAGATTTAGATTTTTAGAAACATTTATTCAAATCATCTCCTGACGTGTCTGCAGCAGAACCTGAAAAGTACAACCACGTGGACCCGGTTTGGGCCGGGTGGTTCTTTGTGTCTGTGGTGGAGCTGAGTCAGCTGAGTCCGGTTTGTGAACGGAACCTCATCAGCACTTTGTGGAGAAAAGAGCTGAAGCAGCTGCTGCTTTGTTTGGACCTCCAAAAAACTGATCCAGTACCTGAGCCCTCCTGTCCCCAAGAACTGATCCAAACTGTCCAGTACCAGTTAAACATAAAATATTATTTATTACAAATCAAGACTTTTATTACAAATTGTTTCCAATTAATTAAAGTTTTAATCAGCGGAGGAAGTTTGGATCTAAATCCCTGAACAGATCATGTTTGTTCTCCACTGACTTTATTTTTCATGAGTCTGTTTTTTCCATGGACTGGTGGTCCACCAGCGCCCTCTGCTGGTCCACACTGGAAGTTCTGGTGTCATATTTGTACAGTCCCTCGTTTATCGCGGGTATCTGTACCCTGAAGCCCTGTGATAAGTGAAAAACCACGAAGTAGGAATAGTAGTACAAGTAGTAGTTTATTTAATCCTTCGCACTCTTGCAATATTCTAACAATGTTCTAAACTCTAAAAGAGCGCAGCCTGTCATGATTTCAGCTCCCTGACACAGCTGCTCTCGGCCACGCCCACTTCTCCGCTGCAGGAGGAAGTTTATCCTGCAGCTCTGGGCTGCACACAGGTGCTGAATAATTTATTTTAAATATAAATTCCATGCCGATCGTGCGGCTCATCCATCAATCAGTCAGTTGCGTCATGTCCACTCTTATTTTTGAAAAACCGTGATGGATCGAGTCCACGACAAACGAACCGCGAAGTAGTGAGGGACTAGTGTTCAATTAAATTCTGTTCATTTCCATCGCTCCAAGTCACTCGTCAGTCGTCTGAGCACTGAACAGAAACATTCACATGCATAAAAAAAACAATCGGTAAAGTTCTTTAAGAAGCAGCAGATTGTGTTGAAGCTTCACTTCGTCTCAGTGTCTCATCCTGAGCGAGCACAAAGGAGACGGTGGAAAGAAAAAACTCCATTTAACAGGAAGAAACCTCCAGCAGAACCAGGCTCAGGACGAGCGGCTGGTTTGAGAGGACAGGAAGGAGAGACAGACTAACACAGAATGGTAGGTCCAGATATAGGTCCAGGTGTTGGTCCACATATAGGTCCAGGTGTTGGTCCAGATATAGGTCCAGGTGTTGGTCCATGTGTTGGTCCAGATATAGGTCCAGGTGTTGGTCCAGGTGTTGGTCCAGATATAGGTCCAGATATAGGTCCAGGTGTTGGTCCAGATATAGGTCCAGGTGTTGGTCCAGGTGTTGGTCCAGGTGTTGATCCAGGTGTTGGTCCAGATATAGGTCCAGATGTTGGTCCAGGTGTTGGTCCAGATATAGGTCCAGGTGTACCTGAAAGACAAAAACACATGTTAATGATAGAAAAAATAATCACAAATACAAACAGGTCGAGCAGAGTAAGTAAAGACAGCAGCAGAGAGGACATGTGGTCAGTTTGTCCTCCAGCAGTCTAAGCCTATAGCAGCAGAACTAAGGGACAGCTCAGGAAACCCAAGCCAACCCTAACTATAGGATTTATCAAAAAGGAAAGTCTTAAACTGGACAATGTGTCGGCCTCACAGACAGAAACTGGAAGTTGGTTCCACAAGAGAGGATTGGTGTTACCTGTGCAGGTGAGCAGTGTCTGAGCCAGTGTGTAACTCCGCCCCCCTGTGTTTTTTTATCTCCACCCTCTGCGTCTCAGTCCAGAGGAACATGTTGGACTTCCCGCAGCACGTGTCCTCCTGCAAGGAGGTCCGGGCGGCGAGCACCGAGGCCGACAAGCGCCTGTCCGAGTTCGACGTGGAGATGAGCATGAGGGAGGACGTCTACCAGAGGATCGTCGCTCTGGAGGTGAGCTGACGTCACTGCACGCAGGTGGAGGACACCGTCCTCAGAAACTGGTGGAGCTGGACGGGTCCAACTGGAGGACTTCCCATCAGTCTGAGAGCAGGGGTAGAACGGTTCAGCTCGACTTCCTGTTGAGTAAAGTGTAAATAAAAACAGAGCAGATTTATAAATCTCATATTTTAACAAGACGTAAACATTAAAACTTGTTTCATTTTAGGAAAAAACATTTAGTTTATAAACTGAAGTTGTTCCAGGAGCAAGAGTGAGCGCTCCGGATCAGAACCAACATTTAGTAACTAAAGAGGTGAATTATCAGCAGCTCAGTCTGAGGACAGAAGTAAAGCTTCTTCACTGGTTCACTGGTTCACTGGTTAACTGGTTCACTGGTTCACTGGTTCACTGGTTAACTGGTTCACTGGTTCACTGGTTCACTGGTTCACTGGTCACCATTAACTCCACACAGACTCTCCCACTGGTACATTTTCATCTTTAAATCACTTCTTGGTCTGCTGCCTTCATACATCTCCTCCTACATGTCTCTGTGTGAGTGCAGCTACAGCGTGCGCTCTCAGGACATCATTACCTGCAGTGTTCCCTCAGTGAGGACTGAACTAGACAAAAGGACCTTCTCCTACTCCGCTCCTGTTTCCTGGAATATCTTTTCTACATCGTCTTATAATCTAGCTGGGGATTTTGTTGTTGTTGTTTTAACATTTTTTCTTCCATTTATTTTTTTCAATGTTTTCTTTTACGACCGTCCGTTGTCGCCGTCACTCTTTGATAAACCAGGTCTCTGTTGTGAAAGAGTCCCTGAGGCTCAGTGAGACTCACCTGTAGAAATAAAGGTTGCAACAAAAGAAAAAGATGGGAACAGGTTCAACAGTCTGTCTAAAACTAGAGGAGCTTTCAGAATAAAGTTCCTGGAACTCTTTCAGAATAAAGTTCCTGAATAAAAGACTTTAAACTCCATCATCTCCAGTTCTTAATCTGGTCCACGGTTTAGAAGAATCTGAAGAAATCTCTGAGCTCAGAAGGCGAGGCCCTCAGGGGCCACTGCAGTAAAACCAGGTCTGGTTCTGGGCTCAGGAACTTCCACAGATCATTGTCTTAAACACAGTTCATCCACAGATGCTGCTTAAAGCTCTATCATGCAAAGTAGAAGACAGATGTGAACACCGTCCAGAACCACTGCCGTCGTCTCTGGACCAGAGTTCGTTTAAAATGGACCGAGGAAAAGTCCAGAACTGTTCTGTGGTCAGACGGGTCCAAATCAAAATTTCTGATTGGAAACCAAAAACGTCACGACCTCTGTACTGAAGAGGAGAGGGACCATCAGGCTGGTGTCAAAGCCTGCTTCGCTGATGGTATGGGGGTGCACATCTAGAAAGACTTGTTCCACTGTAACTAAAAAATGGCTTCATGAGATTCTGGGCCCGGATTCTTTTAAGTGACTGGTTCTGGACTGAAGTCCGTCCTTATCCCTCAGGTCACAGCAGCAGGGGCTCCTCAGGGTCAAAGGTCACAGGAAGTGCATCATCAGAACACACTGAGTCACATGATGAGTCCATTAAAGCCGTTCTCTGAACCACAGACTGAACCAGTTCTAGAAATAATCGTGATCTTTATGATCTGGATCTTTCTCCAGGTTAGCATCTGGATTTTATTTTGAAATCAAAGAAGTTACAAATGGACTTTTATTTTGACAGAGCTGTTTACTGGATGGTTTGACTTGATGTTTTAGAGGAACTCTAGAAGTTTCTTTGTGTCCTGGCAGCGCTCTGTTCCTCCTCAGGGTCTGCTCTTCTGGACCTCGTGTGCGTTCCACATGAAGCCTGTTTAAAAGTCCGCTCCAGTTCTCTCCGGACCCCCCGGAGGTTCTCTGGACCAGTTTCATGGTTTCGGTTTGTCTCCACAGAAGAAGACGAGCGCTGAAGACTTGACTCCGGAGGCCAAACGCTACATGGAGCGACTGCTGAAGCTGGGGAGGAGGAACGGCCTCCACCTGTCCAAAGACACGCAGGAGGTGAGGCTCTGTGTGGTTCTTCTGGTCCGTTGGGGTTGGAACCGAGCAGAACCCGGCTCCTCCACCGGAACCATTCTGAACATCTCACAGAGCAGAATTCTGACGTTTTTCTGGTGAAACAGGAGATCAAGAGCATCAAGAAGACGCTGAGCAACCTGTGCATCGACTTCAACAAGAACCTGAACGAGGACACCACCAGCCTGTCCTTCAGCAGAGACCAGCTGGGTGAGTCCAGAACCAGCAGGGCCCATCAGAGCCGCTCCTGTTCTGACTGAAGTTGTTTCAGGTGGCCTCCCTGAGGACTTCCTGACCTCTCTGGAGAAGGATGGAGACCAGCTGAAGATCACTCTGAAGTATCCTCATTACTTCCCCACCATGAAGAAATGCTTCGTCCCTGAGACCCGCAGGAAGCTGGAGGAGGCCTTCAACTCCCGCTGCAAGGAGGTGAGACAGGTCCATCCTGGTCCCTGCCGATGTGTCTCCTGTCCGCTCGGGCATCGGGTCCTGTAAAGACCTGAGACGAGAGGAAGGAGGCTCCTGACTGAACGCTGAGTCAGCACTTCTGCTTTGAGTTTTCTTCTGCAGAGTTTGTGTCGTTGGAACCGTTCGTAGAACAAAACCTTCATCTGCTGGAGGTGCAGCTTTGAGCCGTGGTCCAGCTGTCGCTCAGAACTCAGGCTGCCTCTAGTTAAACAGTTCAGCAGGCGTTCAGCTGTTGTTCGGCTGTAGTTCAGCACTTTAGGTCTCCAGACTTTCTGGAGGTCTCTCAGAAGTTTCCTGGTTCAGTTGTTGGTCCTGAACATTTTTAGCTTCATTCAGACAAACTAAAGGGACGAGGACCACGGGAAGGAAAACGTGAAGATCTTTGGACTGGATCAAAAGTTTTTGGGTCGCAGCATTTGCTCGGTGTGTGTTCTGATCCATCAGAGTCCTGTGGACCATCTCTGTGTGTTTTCAGGAGAACTCCGAGATCCTGAAGGAGCTGGTGAAGCTCAGAGCTCAGAAGAGTTCTCTGCTGGGCTTCAGCACGCACGCCGACTTCGTCCTGGAGATGAACATGGCCAAATCTGGGAAGAAGGTGACGGCCTTCCTGGGTCAGTCCAAGAACAAAAACACCTCAGTCCAAGTCCTGACTCCTCCCATTTTGACTCCTCCTCACTATTTGACTCCTCCTCACTATTTGACTCCTCCCCTCTGACGTCCTCTCTCTTTGACTCCACCTCTATCTCTGACACCTCCCCTTTGACTCCTCACTCCTTGACTCCACTTCTCCCTCTGACCCCTCCTACCACTGACTCCACCCTTCTGACCCCTCCTCATTCTCTGACTCCTCCCCTCTTACGTCTGCTCAGAGGATTTGTCCCGTAAGCTGAAGCCTCTGGGTGTGGAAGAGCGGGCGGTCCTCCTCCGGCTGAAGGAGAAGGAGTGTGAGAAGCAAGGTGTTCCTTTTAACGGCGAGCTTCATGCCTGGGACACTCGGTACTTCATGACTCAGGTGAGACGGGTTCTGATGGTAGTTCTGGTCACGTCAGACTTTGACCTTGTTCAGCCGGTGACGAAGAAGCAGAGGAACTCCTTCTCTGCTCTGTTCCTCAGGTGGAGGAGACCCAGTATGCGGTGGACCAGAACCTGTTGAAGGAGTACTTCCCCATGGAGGTGGTGACCCAGGGTTTGTTAGACATCTACCAGGAGCTGCTGGGTCTGTCCTTTGAGCTGGTGGGCGGAGCTTCTGTCTGGCATCCTGACGTCACTCTGTACAGCGTGAAGGATCTCGGCAGCGGTCAGGTGGTCGGACAGTTCTACTTGGACCTCTACCCCCGGTCAGAACAACCACTAACTTACTAACATCCAGTAGGACGACTCGACCCTGGACCTTTGTGTCTCGACCCTGGACCTTTGTGACTCGGCTCTGGACCTTCGTGTCTCGACTCGTGACTCAACCCTGGACCTTCGTGACTCGACCCTGGACCTTTGTGACTCGACCCTGGACCCTTGTGACTCGACTCTGGACCTTCGTGTCTCAACTCGTGACTCGACCCTGGACCTTCGTGTCTCGGCTCGTGACTCGACTCTGGACC